GTTTGCAAAGACATATAATAATATAATCCAATGTACTTCCTACTTAGATGAACTTGAAGTGTTTTCAGCTGTGGTTCACTAAATTCGCCTCATAGAGAATAGATTCGAGTGGATGCTTCAGGCTTTTTCCTAGCCAGTTATGTTTGCTAACTGAATAAACACATTTTAATGTCTTAATTATGAAAACAAAATGTGCAGAAGTCTATGATCTACTCTATCATTTGGAAATAAACTGAAAAATCCTATTAGGTTGGAATTAAATGGAAAATAGTTTCCCCTTTTGGGGATTTTTAATTTTATTCAGAATACTTATATAACTGCCTGCTAGTGAATCTTTTGAGATTATTGTATTGGAGAAGATCTTTAATTCCAAACACATTTTTCTTGAGGGCAAGGGGGGGGGTACTGTCATTAATTTCAGCATGGAATGAATCTTTCTTTGTACTTATCCTTTCCCTTGTCTCCCTCCCTGGGTGAGCTCCTTGTCAATTTCCATAGGTGCCAAAGCGTTTGGCTTGGGCCTAAGTTAGTTCGGCCTCAAGTGCATGGGAAGAACTTTAAACTAGGTGGAGGATTAAAGAGTTTTGCTAACTCAGAAGATGAATCACCTCTGAATGTCAGTTCCAAGACAGTGCCTCTTGCTCTCCGTTGGCAGATAGGAAGAAGACACAAAGGCTATTCAGCTGAGCTGCCCAAACCAAGGACCAACAACGTGTAATCCTTCTGAAAACCTTCACCTCTTTTTGCAGCCATCACTCCTATCTTTCCATCGCACCCCAATTCATAAAAATATGCCTCTTCTGGACAAACATCAAATTGAATATTTCAGGGCTGTTACCTTAAGTTAGTAAATGGTCTTAGCTCCAAGAGAAATGAAGCTCCATTGTAAATAAAATGGTTACTCCGGTCTATGTCCACAAATGTCTGATGAAACCAGCTTTGTTTGTATTTGAGATCTGGGGTGAAAAGTGCTCTTAGATGGACTGTCATCAATAAGGACATAACAACAGTGAACTGCCCTGCGAGCATTCCCCCACTGGATAAAGAAAAGAAATGGATAAGACCTAGTAAATAAAGGGCAAACCTCAGCCCAGGGACAGAACTTTTGAAAGGAAGGTAGTCCACTGATGAAAATTCTAAAGCCAGGTCTGGCTGGCATGGCTGGCATGGCCTGACAGAGCGCAGTTGGTTGGAGCGTCCTCCCTTACACTGGGAGGTCGAAGGTTCATTCCCATAGGGGCACATACATACCTAGGTTCCTGGTTCCGTGCCCCCCCCCCCCACCACCACACACACACACACACACACCCCTCTTCCCTGTTAGGGCAAGAATGGGTCTGTGTTTCTCTTCCTCCTTCCCTCTCTAAAATAAAATAACATGATTTATATCAACTTTGCATATGTAAATAATACTAGTATCATGTTCTGGCAAATATATCTGCCTGACTTATGTGCATAGAATTGATGTGCACAGTGTTTTAAATAAACAAAACAGTAGTTTCCATATCAAAAAAAGATCTTAAGTTCATAAATTAAATATCTTCAGGTGCATTGATTTGTCTGAGCCTCAAGCCCAAAGGAAAAGAAGTCCTATTTTGGGCACCCCTGTGAAAACATAGGTTTCCAGATTGGGCCAGAGGGAGAAAGCTGAGTTAATGCAGTTATTAAAAGTCTCCCCTCACCACTTCCCGAGGTACTCTCCCTGCAAAGTCAGGGGGCACTATCTTTCCAATTTAGAGGAGCAGCGGCTCACCCGCAACCTCTCCAGCATCTCGTCTTCCTGTAGGGGGGTCAGCTTCCTCAGAACTCGCTAGGAAACAAGGGTCAGTCAGCCTGGACTGTCTCCAGTCACCACAAGAGATTGAACAGAGCGAGTTACTCCCCCAAATGGCCAGATTTCTGCTGAGACCTAAAAAAAAGGGTGATCTCGTGGGCGGAGGAAGGGAGCATATAAATACATAAGGAGTAAACGAAAGGAAGAAAATCGCCTGGGGGTACGGGAAACCACGCAGTGGTGGGCTCAAACCCGGAGGACCAGCCGGCCACCTCCAGCCAGGGATTCCGATTCTTGGAAAACGGTTGCCATTTATTTTTGTGCGCTGTTCCGCGCGGACACTGGGTGGCGCTCGTGGTAAAGACTTGCACTTCTTTTAGGGTCCGTTTCTCCACCATCCCCACCACACCCCACACCCCACACCCGCGCCCCTTGCAAATTTCGGCTTCTGGGAGATGACATTACTCACGTTCTTCCTACGTGTCGCAGTGGGGAGCGTAGTGGGGTGCGCACTTCTGGAGAAGTTTGATGCCGCGGGGCCATTTCTCCAAGGCTGAGCCCTTCGATGGGGGTTGAAAGAGGCAGCAGCGTCCGGTCCACTGGCCTTAAGACAAAGGTCCAGACCTTGGTGTCAGACACACCCACGGTACCAGCATCACCCACAGAACCTGAGAGCAGGGCCACCCAGCGCGCGCGCGCCCAGAGCGTGGGGAGAGCCACAGGGACTGCAATGTGACCTGAAGTGGGACTGTGTTGTGATCAGGCTCCAGCTCCTTTGAACTTAGCGCTCTCCTTCCAGGCAAGGGTGGGGGGAAGTGGGGTGCACTTAGTAAAGAAGCTGAACAAAGTGGAGAAAGACCTTCAGAGACGCACCCAGATTTGCAAGTTTCACCCGGCAGCGGCCTTTGCTGTTGAGGGCCAGCACTTTAGGAACTGGAACAAAGAAGCTAAGGCTTTCCCTTCCGCCCCCCTCCTTTTTGTCCTGTGCAAAATGGGAGAGAGAATATCTTTTTTTGGATGGAGGGGAAGGTGACAGCAGAATCGAGACTAACTGGACACTGTAACGTTGTGTTCTCCACCAGACCCCAAGCTTCTCCATTTTGCCCAAAGTCTGCAACTTCCCATCCCACCCTGTTTGGAATCTGCCTTCTCAGCAAGGTCTAAACACGTTGTTCGGAACACCCTGGTTAGCATAACCGTGTTGCCTTCTTTCCCTTCACGTCGTAACTTTTAAACCTGCAAGAAATAAAAGATTCCGGGGGTGGAGGCACCAGGGGAAGGCCACCCGGCTCCCGCGCCACTGGCCTTTGCCCGGAGGCGACTTGGACCCTCCCTGGCATTGCCTTGGGGATGCGATTCCTGTAATTAAACAGCAGGATGTGCTTAATTTAAGGTGGCTCGATTGGCACCTAGAACTTTCCCGAGCAGAGGCCAGGATTTCAAGCCCGACCTGGTCGTCAGTGCCTCCCGATGATGCCCCTTAGCTCTAAACGTAGAGCGTGAGCAGCAGTGTCAACATCCACACCGCGGGGTCAGGGTGGGCCCGCAGCCCAGGCTGTTTTCTGGGCGTTAGTCTCAAGCAAGTCCAGGGCAGCACAGACCTCCAGGAGGAGAATCGGGCCGGGTGGGGGAGGGCGCTGAGAGACCCTGTGACACACTCCTCTCAGGCCCTGAGCCCGCCCCAGCTCTTGTTGCCCCTAAAGGCAAGGCGACAACAGCTGTGGTTCTAGGGCTCCCAGGCGGTGGAGGCAGGGGTCTGATGCTCCCGTGGCTGCTCTGCTTTGGTGTTCTGGAGCGAGTCTGGCACCCTGCCAAGAGTTCCAAACCCCCCCAGCTCTCCCTGCCGGCTTGTTTTGGGCTGGATAGCTCCACAGAAAGCAAGGTTAACCTAGCACTAGACACAACTAATGTAGACTCCTCTTTCGGTTGGAGTGGAGGGAATGATGAGAAACCAGACCCTCCTTGCTGGGGTTCCTAGTCTCAGACACTCTGGAGGAAGCCGCTGAAAAGGCCCAAATCAAGATCCAGTTCCTGGAGTTGCCTACTTTAAGGGCGGGAAAATGGGGAGCGGTAGGTTGACTTAGATTAAAGTATTACACTCCCAGCTGGATCATCTCCAGAGCAAGAGTGACATGTCATGGAATGCAAACTCTTTGGACCACGAACACCCAGTGGTGGGTTCCTGCGCCTTTTGTCCCTTTGCATATGAGCTAAGGCGACTTCAAGGCAGGGAAAAGGAGCCTGGAAGGCACAGGAACCTGGGCCTGGGAATGGTGCCATGTCCATGAAGCTGGGAGGGGAAAAGTGGTGGGCTTCACCCACCTCCCAAATGGGCTTTTATTCTTGTCTACTTCTCAATCTTCTTGGGGTTCCCATTTTGCAGGAGCTACAGACCCTCTCTTTCAATGGCAGCCAAATGGACGAGAATGTTGAACAAAATGTGGGGCTGCTGGCTCTTCTTTGGGACCAGCAATTTGGATGTCATTAAGTTATCTGTGCTTAAGACAGTAACATTTTAAACTCACGGTAGGGATTTGGGGTTGCAGAAACTGCCATTAACCGCCGAATGAGCAGTGTGCATTCATGAGCATCCTTATCCAGCCTTTTTCTGAGAAATATTTATCTCACGCAAAGGAAGTGCTTGTTGCAAATTTGTCTTCCCCCCCAAACTGCAAATTTTCAACACCTGTAAGATACAACTTGACTCCCAGGACCCCAATAAAAGGTGGTCTCAGCTCCTTTTCACCATCACCCCACATCCCGACTCCCCACTGCAATTACAGGGTTCAACTCCTCACCACCCTCTGGTGAAGCCCAATGGGGTGGAGTGATGGGGAGCAAAGAAAGACCGAGGCCGACCTCATCCCCAAAACATGTGCACTTTCCGCAGCTGCTGATTGGAACACATTGTCTGCAGACATTACAAAGCTGGCGTTTGGGCTTCTGCGTTTTCTTTGGTATTCACTGAAAACAGAGTAACTGAGACCCCCCTCGTTCCCCAACTAGGAACAACACGTATACACACACACACACCACACACACACACACACACACACACACTTCACTCATCCCTACATTTCTCTCTCTCTTTTTTTAAGCAATGCTTTGTTGTGTTAAAACTAGTTGGACGAGTTGGGGTGTTGCTGCTGCTCCCGAGGCCCTGGCCAATGGAACCCGATCCACCCCGCTGTGCGTAAGCGTGCAATTAAGGATTTAACCAAGGCTGTGCTGCGCCTCAGTCAGCAGTCAGCCTGCCGGAGACAGAGCCTCCACGACTCCCAGCCTCCTCCTCGCCGCCGCCTCCTCCTCCTTCTCTCCTCCTCCTCCTCTTCCTCCTCCTCCCTCGCTCCCACAGCCATGTCTGCTTAGACCGGAGCAGCTCCACAGCCACCTCGGGCAGCCGCCGCCGCCACCGCAGCCAGGACAGCCGCCACCGGGGAGCGATGACAGGAGTGTTTGACAGAAGGGTCCCCAGCATCCGATCCGGCGACTTCCAAGCTCCGTTCCAGACGTCCGCAGCCATGCACCATCCGTCTCAGGAATCGCCAACTTTGCCCGAGTCGTCGGCCACCGATTCCGACTACTACAGCCCCGCGGGGGCAGCCCCGCACGGCTACTGCTCTCCTACCTCGGCTTCCTACGGCAAAGCGCTCAACCCCTACCAGTACCAGTACCCCGGCGTGAACG